ATCTCCTCGGCTGTTGTTCGCCAGCTGATTGGCAGCTGTTTCAACATATCATTCCTTCTAGTCGTTGCCTAAACTGGGGCTCCTTTTTCCTGGTGATGTGATTGAGACTTAGCCACCGTGAGGATATCACAGGACTATCATTTAGCCAATCAGATCTGGGCAGCGCTATCCCGTAGCCAACCAGATCTGGCCATGTGCTGACATCACAAAGCCAATTCAGGGCAACCTTTCCTGCCCTCGCTCTGAGCGAAACCCTTTTAACCACACCGGAATTGCCAGGCAAGGGGAGGTGCCTACAGGTTGCCAAAGCTTCCCTGGAAAATTGCCTTTTGTGGGGACTCTGCTCGGTTTCAGCCAAGAGCTGAAGGTGCTAGTGTAGTCTGGATCCTGGTCCTACTCTGGGGCTGCAGCCCCCAAAATGCTCCATTCTGGAGGCTCTGATGGCTACCAATGGTTCCTAGCGGTAGCTTCTGCCCAACCACAATTGGGTAGGCAAACTGAGGTTCTCCTTGCTGGCAAGGCTCCCCCACAGTCAGTAGAAGACTCCCACCATCAGAGCCAGGCAGGGATGGGCAGAGAGAGACTTTTACCACATCCAATCCCCCTCCAGCATTTCAGGCACTGCTGGATTTACATATAAGCTAAACAAGCTATAGCTTAGGGCCCCACTCTCTTGGGGGGACCCCAAAAAAATTAGAGGGGGAAAAAGGCTGGATGTACATTTCCAAAATATAAGATAAAAAACAAATAAAATAAAACCTGCATACAGCAACAGTGTTTTGTGTTGTGTAGGCTCCTATGATGTAAGTGATGGGCCCTGCCTGCTAGCCTGCTCCCTAAAATATCACTGGTTTGCTCATTTCTATATATAGGGTGCCTACATAAAATAGGTATTTTATGATAAAATACATACTTTGTTATGTACAAATGGCTTTAGATACCTATTAGGTCCATAAATTACCATATAGCATATATTCAACACCAAAAAACAAAAAACAGTGACAATTTGTTGTTGACAAAAGACAGCTGGACATATAAAGGGCCCCATTACCTTCAGTAGCTTAGGGACTCATCAAACCTAAATCCAGCCTGATTTCAGGTCGGGGTTAGATTGCTCTGTTCGTTCATTCAACCCTTTCTACCACAATTTCTCTTCCTATCTGTTTAAGAGGTTTTAATCTCATGCTCAGTTCAGGAACACCTTTATGCCACATTGCGAGGAGATATATTTTGCCGTAAAAATGTTAATGGTGTTTCCTTCTGTCACCTCCTCTCTTCTCCCAGCTGCCATTAGACTTGTGTTTTGGCAGGGCTTTAAATCCTTGCACAGTGTTTAAATGTTCCGAGTCCCTTAAGCAGATTTGGGCACCTTTTAAGAAGCACATTGAAGGTCCATATATCATCACATCCGAACACTGCAGAGTGGGGTTAATGGTTGAGGGTCTCTCAAGGGGTCTTGGGAGATGTAGTTCTGTAGGAGCGCAGAAATCTCACTCAACGTTGATGCCAATATTTCTCTGAAGTAAATAGGGACGCCCTAAGGAAAAGTGGGACATTCCGGGATCCAATCAGAAACCAGGACGGGCTTCTGTAAATCTGGGACTGCCCCTGGAAAATAGGGACACTTGGAGTAGGGTTGCCTTACATCAGGAATTTCCCAGACATAGTGGGAATTTGGCCACCGATAACAGTATCTGTTACTGTTACGGGTGGCGCTGTGGGTAAAAGCCTCAGTGCCTAGGGCTTGCCGATCGAAAGGTTGGCGGTTCGAATCCCGCGGCGGGGTGCGCTCCCGTTGCTCGGTCCCAGCGCCTGCCAACCTAGCAGTTCGAAAGCACCTCCGGGTGCAAATAGATAAATAGGGACCGCTTACCAGCGGGAAGGTAAACGGCGTTCCGTGTGCGGCTCTGGCTCGCCAGATGCAGCTTTGTCACGCTGGCCACGTGACCCGGAAGTGTCTCTGGACAGCGCTGGCCCCCTGGCCTCTTGAGTGAGATGGCCGCACAACCCCAGAGTCTGTCAAGACTGGCCCGTACGGGCAGGGGTACCTTTACCTTTACCTTTAACAGTATCTGGGAGGGAATCACTGGAATGTCCGGGGAAATCCGGACGTATGGCAACCAACATCGGAAAAAGTACGTAGTTTTTGGTTCAAAATAGCTCAAAAACGTTTTTTTTAAAAAACTTTTGTTTCCGGATTTTCACTTTTTGAAATTTGCCAACCCTAACTTGGAGGTTCTGTGATAACATGCAAGCCCTGATTATTTCCTCTACAATATTGTTGTTCACCACATGGGAATCCAGTAGTACACAGACGACTGGGCTGCTTTCCCCTGAATCACAAAGATCACTGGGAAGAAGCACTGTGGCACTGTGAAAATCATACAGTTTTTTCAAGATTCTCCATAGCTGCTAGAAGTGATGACATAGCAGGGCTTTAAATGTATAGTGAGGAGGCAGCCATGCTCTGTATGCCTGTCTGGCTTTGTATGTTTGTGTTACCAGAATCTCAGCCCTGTTCAGATATCCTTGCCCATTGCTTGATGCACTACCAAGTGATGACTTGCGTGTTTGAAGGAGCCTTCAAAGGACAGATGACAGCTACACTTTCAAGGGAGGTAGTCAGTAAGGGATGTGCAAGAATAGCCGGTCCCTGACAGATGGTCATTTTGGCGTCTTAAAAAATCTTTGTAGCTATTTTCCTACCCCTTTAGCCAGTGCCAGATTTATATACAAGCTAAACAAGCTATAGCTTAGGGCCCCACTCTCTTGGGGGGCCCCAAAAAAATTTAGAGGAAAAAAAAAAGCTTGGATGTACATTTCCAAAATATAAGATAAAAAACAAATCAAATAAAAACCTACATACAGCAACAGTGTTTTGTATTTTGTAGGCTCCTATGATGTAAGTCATGGGCCCTGCCTGCTAGCCTGCTCCCTAAAATATCACTGGTTTGCTCCTTTCTATATATAGAGTGCCTATATTCTGCATAAGAGACACGGGTGGCGCTGTGGGTTAAACCACAGAGCCTAGGACTTGCCGATCAGAAGGTCGGTGGTTCGAATCCCCACGACAGGGTGAGCTCCAGTTGTTCGGTCCCTGCTCCTGCCAAACCTAGCAGTTTTGAAAGCACGTCAAAGTGCAAGTAGATAAATAGGTACCACTCCGGCGGGAAGGTAAACGGCATTTCCGTGCGCTGCTCTGCTTCGCCAGAAGCAGCTTAGTCATGCTGGCCACATGACCCAGAAGCTGTATGCCGGCTCCCTCGGCCAATAAAGTGAGATGAGTCTGCGACTGTACCTAATGGTCAGGGGTCCCTTTACCTTTACATTCTGCATGGACTGGTTGCCTGGCAACATGTGCAAATGGCTTTAGATATTAGGTCCATTAATTTACCATACAGCATATGTTCAAACACAAAAACAGCGACAATTTGTTGTTGACAAAAGGACAGCTGGACATATAAAGTGGCCCCATTACCTTCAGCAGGCCTATGGCCTCATCAAACCTAAATCCGGCCCTGCCCTTAGCCCATACTAAACACATACCCTTCAACATTTCTCTGATGAAAATAGGGACATCCCATTCCATAATGATAATTCTTGCTCTTTATACTGGCCAGCTTCCAACATATATAAAAATATAATAAAACATTAACAAAAAAAACTCTTCCCTGTACAGGATTGCCTTCAGACAGCTTGGGAGTCAGATAACTCCATACCCTCCAACATTTCTCCAATGGAAAATACAGACATCCTACCATACCCTCCAACATTTCTCCAATTAAAATAGGGACATCCTTCAGAAAAGTGGGACATCAGAAATTCAGGATGTCTTCTTGAAATCTGAAGCATCCCTGGAAAATAGGGACACTTTGGAGGGTCTGTAAACGTTTGCATGGTGTAAATCCTGCCTTAGTGGAGGAGTGGGGCCAAGTGCTAGGGTGTGGCTAAATCTGGCAGATGGGCAGGGCCGTCTGCCTGTCAATCACGTGACAACACAACCGGGGATCTGGATTCATAATGCTCTGCTGGGATCTGGGATCTGGGCTAGTGGTTGAGGCTCAACTCTGAGCCAGGACTTACCCTACAGATTTGTGAATTAATATCTCAGCCCCTAGGAGCTAGTACTAGAGGGTTCCTGAGTGTACACAGAGAGCCACATGCAGTCACCCACAACCTGCCCTCCCACCCATAAAAAATCAGTTTTTTGTGTTACCTCTTCATTTAGGAATTAGGAACTGAACTGTGACTAATTGGAACAGTGGGCATTTTCAGATTTATTTTTGCACCTGCGGGTTGACATGTGAACACAGTGCTTTTGAGCATGTGCAGAGTGCTTTCTTCATCTAACTGCAGTGGTGTAGCAGTTTAGACTCCAGACTCCATGTTATTATTGAGGGTTAGATACAGAGATTCCAAAGGACCTTATAAAATTGTTATGTATGCTACAACCGCAGCTAGAACAGTATTTGCCCATAGGTGGAAAGAAGACATTATTCCAACAAGGAAGAGTGGCCGATCAATTAATGGACTATGCCGAAATGGCAAAATTAACAGGTGTAATAAGAAACCAAGAGGGGGAAAGAATTACTAAAGAGTGGGGGAAATTTGTGGAATATTTGAAAAGTTATGCATCAGCAGGGTTAACCTAAAACCAGCAGTTTAATAAAAAATGATTAAGAGAAAGAAAAGAATAACTTTAAAAGGGAGTTATGTGGAAAATGCAGTATAAAAAACTAAAACTAAAGAAAAAACCACAAAAGGAGGGGAGGAAAGGCAAATTCCATAGCTGTTCTGGATTATTTGTGAGTTATGTGTCTGGGTATTTGTATGTTTGTAAACTTTTGAAAAACCAAAAAACCCACCAAAAACAAAAACAAACAAACAATGCTATTATGGGGTGGGGGGGGGGCAGAGACTCTCTTTAGGAGTTAGTGGGTATACCTTTGTTCACTTCAAAACTGGCTCTCTTGGTCATTCTGCTGACTGGGGGACTCTGGATGTCTGCCCCCCAAATCCTGCTTGACGGCATCATCAAGGTCTTTGAGGACATCAGGGGCTCTGAGGTAGATTAAGATTCCTGTACCACCCTCTTGGAAATCGATTCCAGCTCCTGTGCTGATGCATTCACCAGATTTCAAGCACCCAGATAAATAAATAAAATTAAAAATGCACAAAACGGCTGATTTGAAAATTCAGTTTGTGTGAATAGCAGTGTTTTCAGCATCAAACACTAATGAGCAAAAATACCAACAACAATGGATGGACTAGCTACCACAAAGCGCCCGTTTCCAAAATACACCCTTCATCATTGTATACACATCTTGCAATCTTATGATTGTTACAATCCTCACTGGGAAGGAGGAAAAAAAAACTTTCCTGGTGCCATTTCAAGCAAGGGTTGAAGAAGATGATACAAACACAGATTTCTTTTTTTAAAAAATGTATTCTTTATTGAAAAATTTAAAAAGTACAAAATTACAAGTGCACAGAGTAAGATAAGGCCCGAAAAAGAGAAGAAATAAGAAATAGTACCCATGCAGAAAACAAGCAGAAAAAGATGTTGTTTACATTAAAAAAAAGGGGGTGGAGGCTTGTTATGGTAGTTAACCAGACCTTAATCTAATACGGTATTTATGAACTCGAAAAATAAAAATGTATCTCCCTTTAATGATTGGATGGAGACTAAGGATAAGCTTGCTACAAATGAACAAGTTGTGCACAAACATAGACTTGCCATGGACAAATGTAACGATATTTGGAATTCGTTTTTATAAAGATGTAACCACAGATTTAACAGGATCCACCACACACCCCATCCTGGTGGTTGCATGCATTTATCCAAATCCTGGATAAATCCTTGTCTGGTTATATGTTAACAGTCGCTGGAATTGGGTCCAGTTACTTACTTCCTTTTCCCTTTTCCCTTTCTATTTGCTTTCGAAGACCTTGAGAAATCGACCATCATTGAGAACGGCGAAATCCGTATCAACGGCAAAGGCAAGAAGATCCGCAAGCCACGCACGATCTACTCGAGTCTCCAGCTCCAGGCCCTCAACCAGCGCTTCCAGCAAACCCAGTACCTGGCGTTACCCGAGCGAGCAGAACTAGCAGCGCAGCTGGGCTTGACCCAAACCCAGGTGAGATGTTGCAAATGTCCTTTGGTTCACTTATCCGTAACATAACTTCCCCCACCCCCAGGTTTCTAGGAGTTTTAGGTGTGATCTACATGTAGGGTAAGGGACGTGGGTGGCGCTGTGGGATAAACCACAGAGCCTAGACTTGCTGATCAGAAAGTCGGCGGTTCGAATCCCCATGACGGGGTGAGTTCCCGTTGCTCGGTCCCTGCTCCTGCCAACCTAGCAGTTCGAAAGCACGTCAAAGTACAAGTAGATAAATAGGTACTCTGGATTGCGGTGCTCATCTGGCTTTATTGGCTGAGGGAGCTGGCGTACAGCTTCCGGGTCATGTGGCCAGCATGACTAAGCCACTTCTGGTGAACCAGAGCAGCGCACGGAAATGCCGTTTACCTTCCCGCCGGAGTGGTACCTATTTATCTACTTGCACTTTGACGTGCTAGTAGAAAATGCAATAATTTTTCTGATAATTGAAATTGGATTGAAATGTTATCGTCGTTTCCCATTCCCTCCATTTCTGAGCTTATGGCTGTGTGTGTCACTCCTTTCGTAGCCACAACTGCGCAGCCTACGGTCGAGAAAGAGTTGGCAGCAGGCTTGAGAGGTTTGCGAAGTACAAGAAATGCATTTAGGGGAGGGTGCATTGCGTAGTGTGGGACCCAATAGCAGCCGAGCGCGCACTGAGCACGCTCAGTGGCTGTGGAATGCTGACTGACGGTTTCAGGGAGGTGGTGGAAAGCGAGGGAGCGAGGGAAGGGAAGGGAAGGGAAGGGAAGGGAGAGGCTGGAATCCTGGGCAGCAACACTGTGCGCCAGTGGTGACATTTTATTGCGCAGGTGTGAGTGACTGTGGCAGGTGTCGAGCAGAGTGAGGTGTTCTCTGCCCGGAAGGTGTTGCACTCTTCCTTAGGCAAGACACTAATGGAGAAAGCTCAGGAACATACAGGAGGATTGTGGGAATGGGGTTGAGTGGAAATGAAGTACGAGGTTTCCCCCTGTGGCTGGAAATGCTACACCTGTTGAATTTCTGGCTGCGCCCCCAGTATTTAAGAAGCACGGGATCCCTGCCAGGATGACAACAACCATGTATATTCAACTGGTAAAGCTTATGAACTCCCCTTTTGGTGCGCCAAATCCAAAGGCACAGTCCGGTGATGTCTGTTTCCACGTGACTCGGGCTGGAGTCTCGCCCCCTGGGTTTTGGGGATTTTAGGGGAATTGGCACCGTCAAAAGCTTGTTCCACTCACCCAGAAGCCCTTCCTCACAGGTGGTTGAGCAGCTTAAGGAGATCGCTCGAGACAGACAGATGTCAGGGGTGAGCCCAGAGCCAGAGGCATAAAAAAGATTTATTTTTATTTAGGCAGAGAAGGAGAGAGTCAAGTAAGAACCTGCCAAATCTGCATGCTGAGAACTTGTGGGGTGGGTGAGGGCAGGGAATTGTGTTGTAGGGCTGTGAAGCATTATAAAACGGGGTGCTTCCTCTGTACGATATCAGAATTAGCAGGTAAACCAAACATGAATAGAAAAAAAAGGCAGCAGTTTGTTTTGGTCTCTTTCTGAGGAGCTATGGGCTGGAGCACATGGAATATTCCAAACTGAATAGCTCCCCCAATTGGTTGCTTGGCAGATAAAGGTGCTATATGTGTATTTCACAGAATCATAAGAGCTGGAAGGGACTGTAAGGTCATTTAGTCCAATCCCCTGCAATGCAGGAATCTTTTCGCCCCACATGGGGCTCAAACCCATGATTCTGAGGTTAAGAGGACTCGTATTATGTCATAAACAGCGCTTTAAAACGTACAAAAGTTAACATGCTAAAACAGATTAAAATTAGAATAGATTAGCCCATGGAATTTTTGGCTTTCGGGCAGGGGAGGAGTTGGTATTCTGCAACAAATTCTGGTTCCGCAGTGGAATGGAAGAGTAACAGCAAAAGTCAGGACTCTTGCCTCAGTGTGAGGCACTTGTGGAAACAAGGATCTTGGATAGTTCTGCTCCTCTGGGTGTGCAAAAAGTTCCTCTATACTTTGGACACCACAAGCACCCTCAGCTTGCACACTTAGACACTGTGTAGCGTGAAGTTCAGCCAAATAAGTAACCTAGGATATTGTCTGTATCGGCTTGTATCTGAGTAGGCTTCAAAAACACATTTTGTTCTGTTCAGTGTTTTATTTTTGTGTTGCATGTGCTGGTCGTAAAGTGTGGCTCCCATTATTATTATTATTATTATTATTATTATTAATTACCTGTTTTACCCACTTTTTAAAAGCGTTTTAAATGATCAGTTGAGTTTTGGGGTATAAACTTATTATACAAATAAATTGTCTTCCCTGGTGCACCAAATATGAGCCTATACTCTTCTCTTAAACTTCATCAGAACCAAAGAGGTTTAGTTTTAGGCCTTGAACAAGTCTGTGGGGTTCAGCAGCTGTGATGCATTTATGCTACAGTTTTCATACACACCATGTATTTAAAGTATATGACTTTCTGTAAACTACGGTTTCCAATATTTTTCACAGCGATGGGGCAAATTTAGCCCCTCCCTCCCTTTAATAGAGAGAGAGAGAGAAAGAGAAAGAGAAAGAGAGAGAGAACTTAGAATGAATATAAATGTTGTTTTTAAAAATTGAGCCTTGTCACCTAAATCCACTTGCTCATGGGAAGTCCATGGTGGACAATATATATATATATTCTTTTAAAAGAGAGCTCGAGGTGGTTTCAGGGAGTCTTCACTTCTTGTGGGGTGCACATTTATTTTCTCCCAACCTCCCTTCTGGACAAACAGGTTTGGCAGGTTTTGGAGACAAAGCAACAACCTGCAGGACCTGTTTTCCGGGGATGAAAGTGGGATGAGTTCTTCACACCATGAGCAAGGATCCCTCTTTCTGAGCCACCCTTTCTCGGGAGAAAATAATCTGTCCCAGGCTCTCTCTGTGTGTATGTTCAATAATAAAGGCTGATTGTTGCAGCTGGAGCAAACAAAGCTTCCTTACACCAGCATTATTTACCTTTGTTGGCAGAAGCTCTCCAGAGTCTCAAGCAAAAAAGGGGGTTTTCACATCCACTGCTACCTGAGATTCTTTGATCTGGAGATCCCTGAGATCTAGGTTGCATCCATACCATATCTTATACCACATTGGCTTCTCCCAAAGAATCCTAAAGGTAAAGGGACCCCTGACCATTAGGTCCAGTCGTGGCCGACTCTGGGGTTGCGGCGCTCATCTCGCTTTATTGGCCAAGGGAGCCGGCGTACAGCTTCTGGGTCATGTGGCCAGCATGACTAAGCCACTTCTGGCGAACCAGAGCAGTGCATGGAAACGCCGTTTACCTTCCTGCCAGAGTGGTACCTATTTATCTACTTGCACTTTGACATGCTTTCGAACTGCTAGGTTGGCAGGAGCAGGGACCCGAAACAACAGGAGCTCACCCCATCGCAGGGATTCGAACCGCCAACCTTCTGATCGGCAAGTCCTAGGCTCTGTGGTTTAAGCCACAGCGCCACCCGCGTCCCCAAGGAATCTTGGGAGGCCATAATTTGCAAAGGTTGCAGAGAGTAGTTAAGAGACTTGTCACAGACAGCGGCGTAGCTAGCCACTCAGGTGCCTGGGGTCTCCTGGGGTCTCAGGAGAGTCGCATGGCTCAGGCACGCTGCAGGCCCCGCGGTCTGTGACGCCCAGTGCCCCCCTCCTCACCTAGCTATGCCTCTGGATTATGGAGGAAAGGGCTGTTGAAGGATACTAGCCATAAAGGCTGTGCTCTGTCTGCAAAATTGGAAGCATAATGCTTCTGGTTTCTGGAAATCGCTCGAGAGGAGAGTTTAGGAAGGAGTGTGTGGTGGGTGGCGGGGTTATTTTTTTTCAAAAACACATATTTTTCCCCATTTTGTCACCCCCCTCAGTGATGACACCCGGGGCGGCCCGCACCCACTGCACATCCCTTCCTATGCCACTGGCCACAGAGCTACAGTTCCCAGAACTCTTAGCAAACTATAGTTCCCAGGATTCTTTGGGGGAAGCCATGACTGCTGAAGCGGTATAAGAGTACTTTATATGTAAGATGTGAGCGTGACCTGGATTTCAGACCTCCTGCATGCAACATGCCTGCTCAACCATTGAGCTATGACCCATTAGCTTCAACCTGGCCTTTAGCCCCGGCACCTATTTTAAAAGCTCACCAAATGGAGGTGTACAACAACTCTACATATTTTCTACCACCTCGTGGCCCCAGCTGGGGCAAAAGGGAGGTGTACGTTGCTGGCAGGGTATTATCACTGCATTTTAAATTGTTGTAAGCTGCCCTGGGACCTTGGCATTGAGGGCAGGTAATAAATTAAAAATACATATTATTAATAATAGTGGAATCACAGTTCCAATCCTTCTGGCTACTTTTCACTTATGAGGAACCGGTTACTAGGAAGATTAGCCTCCAGTGAATCTTCTTTTGCATGCAAAAAATTTTTCTCCAAAGTTACAGGTGCTTGACACTAGATCCTCCCCCCCCAATTGTTTCTCTCCTTCTGTATTTTTAAACTATTACCCAGTACTATATGACACTCCATCTGCTCCCCCTGCTACACTGCACTCCTAAGTTTTCAACATGATGAGACGGGATAATGTAGCACATTCAAGAAGGGAAGACTCTGGAGGGATAAATCACATATTTTTCTACTGCTTCTCCCTCCAGTAGTTTTCCACCTCCTCGAAATGCCCTGAAGACCAATGTTTACACTTTGCCCTCTCTGATCTTTCCACAAATGCCATTGTGCAACCAGCTTTTTTTGGGGGGTGGGGGTGGAGAAGAAGGAAGAAAAGGTGGGGGAGGAGAACTTCTTGAAAAGTTAGCTGGGGTCAGGCAGCAACAGAGCGTATTACAAAGGCAGGTAGGGGCAGGTAGCTGCTGGAGGTTGCCAAATATGCAGCATGCTTCACAAGCCCTGATCTTTAATCCTTGCAATAGCCCTAGGAGATAGGGCACGATTATTCCCATTTTACAGACTAGGAAATTAAGGCAGATGGAAGAGGATTATGGCATTGGAAGGCACCAAGAGTCAAGGCAACCCCAGCCCCTTGCCTTGAGGCAGGATTATCCATTCACTGGCTCATCACAGGTTGACTTAAAGTGTTTGGAAATTTCTGGCCTCAGAGGCCATGCCACATGATCCAATAGGTACCAGGCTGCAATGAATTCTAGAATATTCCTTCTCTAGATGCAGTTCCTTTATTGCATAGGTCCCCGCCCACACATTACTGTACTGCTGCTTTGAGTGACCATGCATACCCTCCAATTCTCCGATGAAAATAGGTATGTCGCTATTCCATAATATAATAATCTTATTAAATTTATACCCTGCCCATCTGGCTGGGTTGCCCGCAGCCACTTTGGCAGCTTCCAACATATAGGTAAAGGTAAAGGGACCCTTGACCATTAGGTCCAGTCTTAGGTCCAGAGTCGTTCGTGACTGGACTTAACTGTCAGGGTTCCCTTTACCTTCAGTTTAAAACAGAATCACTCTTTTGGAGGGTTAAGGGCATGTGTGAGAGAAAGTCCCAGCCCACAAGTAGAAGTGATGGGCTAGTTGAATCCTACCAGCAATACAACCACGATTTTGCCCTTGGGTGGAAATATTACCAGGACAGTGCTATTCAAGAATATTATACACAAGTGGTTTGACATAGGCATCCCCACACTGCATAGGAGCGTAGGATCAGATGTCTTAAGCAGAGTCAGGCCACAGGTAGACCTAGTAAGGGGGCTTCCTGTCCTGGCAATGAATGTTACTCCAAGTCGGTAATGTTGGCTGAGCTCCATATATGGCAACATTCAACACAGTGGACTGGCCAAAGGGAACAGGAATGGTGCAAGACAATCAATACCTGGCCAGTACTTCTGCATCCAAAATTAGAATTATTTCCAAGTGAATTTCACATTTGAGTTCTCCAACATTGAGTTGTTGCGGAGAACATTTTAAGAGAATTGAGGCAAGTGTTGACTTGCAGTATTCGAATAATTCGACCGCCACTGCAGTTCTTGAACCTACCACTGCTTCCAATAAATTCCAAAGTGGGGGACAAGGACCTTTAAGATGAGAAATATATATATATATTTAGCAAGGGCGTTCAAGAAGGAATAACTTGCTTGATGACTTTCCCCCTTTCTCCTAGCCTTGTTTCGCTTCTCTCAACTGGTTATTGACTGAAATAAATTTAGGCTGCTTCTCTCCATGCTCTGTTTACACCTTTCCCTCTCTGTTATCGCAGGTGAAGATCTGGTTCCAGAACAAGCGTTCCAAGTTCAAAAAGATTATGAAGCAGGGCTCCAGCATTCAAGATGACCACCTCCACAGTTCCTCATCCTTGTCCCCTTGCTCCCCCAACATCCCCCCACTCTGGGACATCCCCATGGCCTGCAAAGGCCCTCCCCTGCCTCCCAGCAGCTACATCAACAGTTTTGGACCTTGGTACCACCAACCGCAGCACCAAGACGCCATGGGGAGGCCTCCAGTGATGTGACAAAAGGGGCACTGGCAGCATCAGCCCATCCTCAATGTGTCTCTTCCTCCAAAGTGCTGATCAGGGTCCCTGGAACAGGCGAAAGGAGGGCGTGGAGTTTGGAGGGAGAAGTTGGCTTCTTTGAAGGAATCACCAGCACTTTTCTCTTGGTGAGAACATCCCTGGCAGGAGATGGACTTCGAACGGACATGTCCAGGGACCAGATCTTAACAACGATGGCAGGTTGTGTGAGGCAAAGTTAGGGAAAGAACCCCCCAGCTCCGAAACACGAATGGAAGGTCAGGGTCCCATTTTAATCGGCGTCTCTTCATCAGGGATTTTACAAGAGAGGTGCTTTGTGTGTTTTTCGTTCCAAAGATAGGCTCTTGGGTGACATGGACCTTACGTCAGATCTAGTTGCGTTAGTAAGAGGTCAGGTTTTGCCATTCTTCCCCCCTCTCATCCAGCAAGGCTTCTGTGACTTAAGCAGTATTGATGGAAGACAGGAAATAAACAGGTGGTGGTGTTGCTGGTTTGGAGATTCAGTGACGGGAGGACTTTATCTGTTGTATTTCTGCCTTGTTCTGCAGAGGATCAAGGTACAGAAGCATTGCCATCTTTACATTTCTTTCTT